TATCGAGTTCCAACAAAATAAATAATTATTATCTTTATAAAAAATTATATTATTAAACCAAATATAAATTAATTCGTTATTGTACATAAATTAAATTATAAAAAATTGAATTAAAAAATTACACAAAGAAATGAGAAATTTTAAATAGTTAATTTGATACTAATATCGATATATTTTTGTCAAATTTTTATGATATTTTCAAACATATATTTCATTCAAAATAAAAACACTATCACTTTTTCAAAATCACATAAAGTCATATTATAACATCGACTGAGATAAAGAATAAAATGAAATATTAAAATCACAATATATCTCGCTGCATTGCGCGAGTACGTTTCTAGTATATATATATGTGATCGAGAGTTGGGACCAATTTAAAGCAGAAACAAAAACGCGCAAACCCAATCTCCAACTTTCAAACCACTCTTAATTAATTCAACAATTTATTATCCAAAAACATTTCCGACGGATTTCCGACAGAATTTAATTTTTAAAAAAAAAATTAAATTCCGTCTGAAATTTTAAAAGGGAAAAATATATATATATATATATCTATCTCTTGTTAGGAAAAAAATAAAAAAACATTTTTCCTTTTAAAATTTCCGACGGAATTTAATTTTTATTTAAAAACAATAAATTCCGTCAAAAATCTGTCGGAAATTTTAAACTTTTATATATCTATTCTCTATATATATCTTGTTAGGAAAAAAAATTAAAAAAAAACATTTTTCCCTTTTAAAATTTCCGACAGATTTCCGACGGAATTTAATTTTTATTTAAAAAAATTAAATTCCGTCGAAAATTTTAAACCTTTATATATGAATATATATATATATGTATGTACATATATATCTCTTGTTAGGAAAAAAATAAAAAAATATTTTTCCTTTTAAAATTTCCGACGGAATTTAATTTTATTTAAAAAAATTAAAATCCGTCGGAAATTTTAAACCTTTATATATATTTTGTTAGGAAAAAAATAAAAAACCAAATTTTCTTTGAAATTTTCGACGGATTTCCGACGGAATTTAATTTTTAATTTAAAAAAAATTAAATTCCGTCGGAAATCCGTCAGAAATTTAAAGAAAATGTTTTAATTTTAATTTTTCCCAAGTTTAAGTTATTATAAACTTTTTTTATTAAATATTACCAATGGAGTAGTCATATGTTCAATTACATTTAATGGATCTATTGGCTTTATTCGGTTCAATTGGACTTTTATATGTATTATTGGATTTTGGTGGAATTTAATGGATCTTAGTAGATTTTTTTTTGTTCAAATAGGTTTTAATGGAGCTATTGGGTCTTATTCTGTTCAATTTGGTATTAACGGGTATTAATTGGGCCTTAATTGGTTCAATTGGGTTTTAATGAATCCATTGGCCTTTAATAGATCTATTGAGTCTGATTTCGTTCAATTGGGCTTTAACGGGTACTATTAAGCTTTATTCGGTTCAATTAGGTTTTAATAGATCTTAGTGGACTTTAACAAGTACTATTTTGTTCAACTAGGCTTTAATGGAGCTAATAGGTCTTATTTGGTTCAATTGGACATTAACGAATATTATTGGGTTTTAAAGGGTATTATTGGGTTTTATTCAGTTCAACTGGGTTTTAAAGGGTATTACTAGGCTTTAATGGATCTTAGTGGACTTTAATAGATCTTTTAGGCTTTAATGGGGCTATTGGTCTTATTCAGTTGAATTAGGTATTAACGGGTTCAATTAGGATTTAACGGGTACTACTGGCTTTATTCGGTTCAATTGCGCATTAACGGGTATATTGAGCTTTATTCGGTTCAACTGGGCTTTAATGGATCTTAGTGGACTTTAACATGTACTATTTGGTTCAACTAGGTTTTAATGGAGCTAATAGGTCTTATTTGGTTCAATTGGGCTTTAATGAATCTATTGAGCCTTATTCGGTTCAACTGGGCTTTAATGGATCTTAGTGGACTTTAACAGGTACTATTTGGTTCAACTAGGCTTTAATGGAGCTAATAGGTCTTATTTGGTTCAATTGGGCATTAACAGATATTATTGTGCTTTTAACGGGTATTAGTGGGTTTTATTCGGTTCAACTTAGTTTTAAAGGGAATTAATAGGCTTTAATGGATCTTAGTAGACTTTAATGGATTATTGGGCTTTACTGGGTACAATTGAGCTTTAAAAGATATTGTTGGGTTGTCATGGATTTTAGTGGACTTTAATGAATATATTGGGCTTTAACGGGTACTATTGAGCTTTCATGGATCTTAGTGGATTTTAATGAATATATTGGGCTGTCATGGATCTTAGTGGATTTTAATGGATATATTGGGCTTTATCGGGTACTATATTCGGTTCAATTGAGCTTTAACGGGTATTATTGGGTTTTAACGGGTACAGTTGGGCTTTATTGGGTACAATTGGGCTTTACTGGGCAAAATTGGGCTTTCATGGATCTTAGTGGACTTTAATGAATATATTGTCTTTATCGGGTACTATTTGGTCTTCGATAGATCTCAGTGGATTTTAATGGATCCATTGAGTTTTATTCAGTTCAATTGAGCGTTAACGGGTACTATTTGGTTTTCGATAGATCTCAGTGGATTTTAGTGGATCCATTCGGTTTGATTGAGTTTTAACGGTTATTAAAGGCTTTATTCCTTAATATCGATTACTTTAGTAGCTTGATTTTTAATATGACACAATTAACACATGTTTTTATTACTTGCTACTATGTAGACGAAAGCAAAAAATGGCGTGC